TGTGTGGCATCACCGTAGCACATCTCATCTCAGAAACATATCTCAGAACAACCAACAGACTATTACAACCACACGGCATCACCATAGCACACAAACCAAAACCAAAATCAAAACCAAACAAACCAAAAAAAACCCACAAACAAACAAACGTGATTCATGGGACAAACCGGCTTCAGGAAAGAGAAAGAAAGGTCCAAGGACACAATGACACTGAAAGCTCTCTGATTCGGGCTTCTCTTTGTATTGCAAATCAACTCTTGGGATGGGGGGGAGACACTGTTTGGCATATCAGTCTTCTATTCTCTGATAGGACTATCCCTCTTCCAGGTTATTCTTATGAAATGACATCATAGCAGCTGTTATCTAGAGGTTGTCCGGATTATGCGGGCATCTAGGACATACAATATTTTCATAGCCCTATCAATCACCTGGGAGGCTTGAATCCCAACCATGCCCTGCCACAGGTTCAGGAGAACAATTGGTGGTTGTTCTTTGGGCTGGAAGTGATGCTGAATGGGAAGAAATGGATGTTCTGCAACTATCCAGCATTAAACTGTCTGAGATCAGCACCACTGTTCAGCTTTGTTGCTGAGGCATGGTAAAGATAGAATAGATAGTGTGGGCAGTGCAATTTATGCCTTTCCCTCAGCTCCGAAACAGGAGGAAAGTACATTAATGTGGCCACAGGGAAAAGCTCATATTTTTGCTAGCAACATATGCATTGGAACTGGATCTGATTTCCTAGTTGCTTGCCTAAGAGAGAAGCTGCCACTTAAGGACGTTGCCAACATTCAAAAATAATGCTATGCATCCACTCCCTCCCTTCTTTTAAATGCAGATGAGAATATGTTGCAACACTGTGTTGCAATGACTGTTGCCATATGAATGGATATAGCTATAAATTATTGCTCAGGTTTACAGTTTGTTTACACTGTAATTTTTTTCCCCATTTGACTTTTGCATCTCAACGTAGATCAGTCTGTATGTCCGTGTAGAATCTATCTGTCTATCTGCTTGGGATGGAGGGGGAAGTTAAGCACCTTTGCCGTCACTGCAGTCTTCTGGTCTGGAAGCACCTGCTAACCATTTCTTAAAGAATGCAAAGATACTGTACATTTAGTACCAATTGCAGAGGAGAATCATAGGGTTAGATGGGACCTTGGAGATCTTCTAGTCTAGCCCTCTGCCCCAAGATAAGAACTTTCACATGATCCCAGACAAACAGTTGTCCATTTGTGCTCTTGAACCATCTCCAACCTTGCCTCCTTAGGTCAATGGGAAAAACAGTAGCAAACAATTGGAAAAGAAGCTGGAGACAGGCACCCAGGGTTGAGCACCATTTCTCAACCTCAGCAACTTGAAGATGTGTGGACTTCTCACATGCTGGCTGGGGGAATTTTGGGAGTTGAAGTTGCTGAGGTTGAGAAACACTGGCTTAGAGTGACAAAAGGTAACACAGAGGTAGGAGTATAGTGTGTGGAGGCCTTCCTGGGAAAGATCCACTCTATTCCTATCTATCATTTATTTATCTATATATATTGCCATATTTGCATGTTTTATACTTTTCTGGAAACCCTGGAATGCAATCAGCTTGCGTGTAGATTCTTGGGGTTCTTACGGATCTTGACATATTGCTTTATCATTTATTTATCTATATATATTGCCATATTTGCATGTTTTATACTTTTCTGGAAACCCTGGAATGCAATCAGCTTGCGTGTAGATTCTTGGGGTTCTTACGGATCTTGACATATTGCTTTATCATTTATTTATCTATATATATTGCCATATTTGCATGTTTTATACTTTTCTGGAAACCCTGGAATGCAATCAGCTTGCGTGTAGATTCTTGGGGTTCTTACGGATCTTGACATATTGCTTACCTTTAGGGTTCCTTAGAATCACTAGGTGGGCACCAAATGAAGGCATGGGCACTGAAGACACACATGCTTTGCCCAGCCCACCAAAATACAAAAATCAGTGATGCCAGGATTCAACTTTACTCGTGTACATATTGAACAGAAAGCAACAACTGCAACTGAACATGAAAAGGAAATTTTATTAAACATGTCTACATAACATGAGTTGGAAGTTCATTTAAAAGCACAGGGAGATGTTAAGACAAGTGGTCAAAATAGAAAGATACTACCGAATCATTTATTTATTTGGCCACTAAAAGACAAAACAGAATCTAGTTAGTGCACCAATGCTTCAGTTCTTCCTGCTCAGCAGGTCGAGCAGTAATCAATCCATTGCCCCATGGAAACATGGGCAGAATAGTTCTGGCAATATTAAATAATAATAGTAATAATAATAATAATAATAATAAATATTTCACTTGGTGCAGGCAGTTATGTCTATGAAGGAAAACTTAATTGTGTACACAGTTTCTACATGTGTTACAGCCCCACAGTAGGAATCTACACCAAAATATTTATTAGAAGGAATTTGGTCCGT